GGACTGTGGGACATGTATACACGATATTTTATCCTTTGTGCATGGTGTTTGAACCCTTTTCTTTTCATTGGATAAATGACTATAGTTGTTTGCATGTCCATACCAAACGTAGTTCTATCATAAGATTATAACCAAATGAGATGTGCATCCCATCCTTACATCTCTTCTTTCATATTTTGCAATGAAATTCTCAATTCCAACTCTATCATAATATGTAGGTTAATCTCCTTCATAGCAACAATTTACTTTTTGTTTCCTATTGAGTGAATAAATCTATCATGTACCAAATGCCATGTATCAAGTGTAGCTGATCTCACATTTGGTATATGCACTCAAATACTCAATTATTCTTGTTGATCCTTGAGTACTATTTGTGTATAAAGATTCCTAATATCGTAATATGGGCATTCTATGTTCTAAGTCAATTTAATGTCTTCTAGAATCCTATTGTGTTTGGCATTCAGTCATACAGATTCTTGGAAGCATGCTTTTTTACTATAATGATTATTACTGGATCAAACGCCAATTTAATGAAGTGGAAGGGTAAAAATGAAATGATTGTGTGTGAAATAAAGGTATTTAAGTAAAGAAGTTTTCATGTACGGTATGGTATTTTAAATAATGGTCATATAAGCATCCAAAGACAATACTGCTAATATATATACTTTGTTTTTTTTATCATGGTACAATTTGGTATGTATGAAATCTAAATGGTGCTTAGTATTCACTTCTGTCTCTTCTCTACTCCTGTATTACACATTGATAAGTCTCTCTCATTTCCCTCCTCATGTATATACTGAGTGTCAAATACTTTCTATGTACGCTATATTTCTGTGTTGACAAGAAGAAAATCCATTGCCACCTTTTTTCTCTGTATCGTTCCAATTTTATCGGATGTCCCCGAAGGGACCATTGCCACCTTTTTTAAAAAAAATTTTAAGAGTATACAGTTTTGTTTGATTTTTAATTTCCTTTGAACATTTAATGTTTAGGTTTTAGGTTTTGAACTTATTATACAAGAAATTAACAAGCGTCCATTTCCTCTATCATGACTGAAAAATTGCACACACTTCACTTATTGTATTTTTTTATTGTTTTCCTTATAAGCACAAAAAATGTCATTCTTTGAATTTCGAAGCATTTAAATTTTACTTGGGCTCTATCTACGCTCCTGTTAAAATGCAATTATAGAATGGATTCATCGACTTATGTTGTTAATGTTTGTATTCCTTTCGGTTTGGGTCAATTTCATATACATGAAAATAAAATAATTACAAGTGGGAAATAAAGAGTTAAGCAAACTGGGTTAGGATGAGATGCGGGAAGATAAAAGGTGCACTGTGAGAGAAAAAAAAGAACATCAAAACATGTTACCTTGGAATTCAATATATTTTATGGAGAGTACATAAAGTACTTAGCTTGAATTCAATATATATTATGAAATGTATTTGACAATAAATTACATTGGGCATAAGGGTAATCGCGCAACGCGCGAGTAAATAACTAGTGTAGTACTATACAAATTGATTGAAAAGGGGAGACGAGCTCAACTATAGTAACAAAAACCAGTGTCATACCATATCATACATATGCTTTCTAACATCTCATAATATCATAATATAGCAATATGAAATGATTATCATTATGACAATTTATTAGGAAAACATTCAATCAAAAAAATCACTAGTAATGTGAGGTCAGGGGTGGCCCTAGGGGGGTGCAACAGGGGAGACCGCCCTAGGCCCAAGAAAATAAGGGGACAAAATAGGCCCAAAAATACTTCTTTGTATGTAGGGTGAGTAGGCTTCCTTTTTTAATTTTTAACTCAATTAATTGGTTCAAGTTTTAATTTTTAAAATAAATTTAAATTGGCATGCCTTTCTTAATTCTCTTCAGATATCTAAGTTTTATAATCCTTTTAATTACAAAATTACCAAGTTATGTTAGGCCTCCCAAGTCCAAAACTCTCAATTCGCAAAACTCATCAAAATTGATTTGTTGTTTAGAAATTCCAATATTAACAAGAGTAAAGAACGCAGCAAAGCGGTGAGTGCCTTAGCGGTTTGTTTAGAATTGAAGCCAATCAATCGAGTAGCCCAAACGGTGGCCGGTGACCAAAAAACTTCTTCTTTCAAGGCTTCAAACAATCCATCCATGATCAATAAATTATTCTTGATAAAATTGGTGAATGAGGTTGGAATAAAGAGAGAAAAAGAAGAAGATTAGAAAAGACAAGGCTAAGTTAGAAGGGATCGATGGATAATTCTGTTTGTTAAGAAATTGAATCTTGAAAATTCCATGAGAAACGTTTTTAAGTAATGTTTTTCTTTTTATGTGATAGTTGTGTTGTTACTTTTCACCAAATAATAATAAAATGAGTTTCGTTTTTATTTAATGAGCTTTATTAAACAATTTTATTATAATTATTATTATAAATAAATATAGTTTATTATTTGTCTTGAATTAGTTGAATATAAGCCCAAAATAATCTCGCCCATAGGCCCGAAAATAGACAGGACCGGCCCTGTGTGAGGTGGCCCCCAAAAACATGCATAAGGGACGCGTCACATAATGAGCGTGTGCTTTTGATATTGTTTTGTATAACTCTTCCTGTATCCTTTTCAATTGAACACTTGTGTTCGAACTTAATACTATTATTTATACTTAGTTAAATTTCTAAATTATACTCCCTCCGTAACATAAAAATGTTCACATTTCAAAAGCAAGTAAATTAAGAATAGTGAAATATGATATAAATTATTGAGGGTATGATGAATTATTGAGGGTATGATGGGAAGATAGTGGAATAGTGTGATGAAATGAAGGATAAATAAAAAAAAGTAGTTGTAATTAGAGTTGTAAACGAATCAAATCGAATCGAATAGTGAGTAAAATTATTCGTATTCGTATAAATTGACGAATATTCGTATTCGGATATTATTCGAATACTTAAAAATACTTTTGAGCATTTAATTTTAAAAAAGTTACAAAAGGTGTTTAAAAAAAGTTAATTAAGTCGTTTAAAATTAAAATCTAAAAGGGGTGGAGAGTATATATGAAAGGTGATTAAATTGGTTTTGATTTTTCTGTTACATAAAAGAATATATTTTCGGACCACTCTATCATATAGTTTTTCAAAATCATTATTCCTTTCAAGCAATACAAACTCTTTCTACTCCATATTTTACTTCTTCAAAATAAGGCTAAATGGTCAAATAGGCCGGACAGAGCCTCCTATATAAGGAGTTAATTGCACTTTTTAAGTTAGTTCGAGGGCCTATTTGACCCTTTAGCCTTAAAATAATCTTTAAAGTTAACCACTTCATGAGAAGTAATTACACTATCCATCAGAGCTATCAAAAGAACACGCGTCCACCATGCATGTTTCCAGCATCAACTCTGTTTCCTTTGAAGGTGACTCTGTAATTCACTTATAAAAAAATCAATTGAAGAAATCACGAGAAATGTGAGGTGGCCCCCGAGAATACGCATTACAGAAGCGTTGTAATGTTGCATGACAGACGCGTGTGCTTTGATGCCGTTTTTTGTAGCGCTTAATAAACACATCCGTTTCAACCGAAGACTCGTGTTAATAAAAAAGAAGGAAAGAAAACATTGTAAAAAGAGTAAAATATTGGGAATTTATTTAGATATGAGTTACATTGTTTTGTTTTCATAACAACACTTCTATTTAGAGAAGTTTTTATTCTTTTAATATGACTCATTCTTTTGTCTTTTTAGCTTTCTCATCTTATTTACCTTTTATCTTATCATTTTTATCTTTTTATCATATCTTCTTTATTTGTCTTATCTTTATGTTTTATCCTATCATAATTTCTCTTTTTTTATCTTATACTTCGTATGTTCTTTTATCTTTTTTATCTTTATAAAATTCCGATTTCACAAATCGATTCATATTAGTTGATACAGAACTCTTTTGAGACTAAAACTCAAATGGTGTTGTTGATTATTTTAACCAAACAAGTCCTACTTTAGGAAGAAATTTTAATTGGTCATATTTTAGACATTTGTCTAACTTCTAATCTTATTTTGAGCAATTTGTAAAGAGTACTCCTAGTTATACTTAATTATGAATTCCCCCCAAACATATACTTCCTCCGTTCTTAAATAAATGCAACAGTCAACATTTCACATTTGCCGAGGCACAACTTTGACCATTAATATATATAATTCCCGATTAGTAAAAAACGTTAAAAAAAAATAGATTTTGAAAATTTATAATGAGAAAATTTTAACAATATTTTTTCCATAAAATATTATTACATTAATAAATAAAACGTAGTCAAAATAGAACATGTGAATAGTTCAAAAAGTCCAACGTTGCATTTAAAAGAGAACGGAGGTAATAATTCATTTATTTATATAAAAAACATCACTCTTACTTTTTAAAAATTACTCACTCCGCCCCTAATGAAACTTCCACTTTTTTTGGTAAAGAATTTGTTGTGCACAATAATATTTACACATTTATCTCTCTATTACATAAGTTTTCATCGCACAATACTCACTATCTTAATCTGCGCGCCAAATGTACGGTAGAAGTTAATTTAGGGAATCATTACTACCCCACCATGAGAATGCTCTTTACCATGAGTCTTTCAATTGAAACAAATATACAAAGATCTATATAATGCAATATCCATAATCGAAAAATGGCAAATATGTTAACTCAATGGTTAATGAATGCAATAATAATATAATTACTTTTCATTTTCATAATATAATCTTTCAAAGGTCATTATTTTATTCCCCAAAAAATATACATTTTGAGAATTTTTTATCAACTCATTCTTTTAATTAATAGGATTAAATAAATTCTGTTTGGGAAATAAAACAGAATTTAAATTAGTGTGTTTTAATCGTGAGCAATTTCAGAAAAAAAAATCAAAAGCACACGCGGCCGTCATGCGTATTCCCGGCGGGTCCCACCCCACCTTTCTTATAACCAGCAAACGTACGAAGGAATTGAAGCGCTTAAAGCCTCCCCGCCGGCGCAACTGTTTGCTTTCTTCCCCATTTCCCCAACGCTCACCATTTTCACGACTCCCCATTCCTCTTTTTCCGCCATTCCTTCATTCTCCCCTTCTGTCTTCACCGCCAAACCCGCTTCTAAATTTAGCTTTCCCAACCGAAAATGGCCCTTTCCGCCGCCCACTGGTGACGACACCACTATATCACGGCCTTTCCAACGCTCCCCTGCCGCAGATTTTTCGTCCATAAAATGCGTTTTCCATTCGCTTATTCCGATCACAGAGGCATGGCTTCCTCTAATTCCAAAAACAAGAGTGGCAGAGATTCCGTCCCGGACGCCCTTGTCTTCTTCGCCGGAGTTCTGATGGCTTTGGTACTCGTTTGGGCTCTGTGGTGTTTATTCACAACCCCCACCGTCGACTCTGTTTCATTTTCCGGCGACTCTATTCCGGCCAGAAGGTATGCTGTTGCCGGAGTTTCCGCCGGCTGTAACGGGACCGTGGGTTTCGACCGGCTCCGCGACCCGGCCGGCCGGAATTTCTACGATGACCCGGATTTGAGCTACACCATCGACAAGCCGGTGAGGAACTGGGACGAGAAGAGGAGGCGGTGGCTGGAGCAGCACCCGTCGTTCATCCCCGGAATCGAGACCCGGATTCTCATGGTCACCGGGTCTCAGGCGAAGCCGTGCCGGAACCAGGTCGGCGACCATCTCCTTCTCCGGCTGTTCAAGAACAAGGTGGATTACTGCCGAATCCACGGGTACGAGATCTTCTACAACAACGTCCTGTTCCAGCCGGAGATGTTCTCGTTCTGGGCGAAGGTGCCGACGGTGCGAGCCGTGATGCTGGCCCACCCGGAGGCAGAGTGGATCTGGTGGGTCGACTCCGACGCCGCCATAACCGACATGGATTTCAAGCTCCCATTGGACCGGTACAAGGACCACAACCTGGTAGTCCACGGGTGGGTCAACCTGATCTTCGAGAAGAAGAGCTGGACCAGCGTCAACGCCGGCGTCTTCCTGATCCGGAACTGCCAATGGTCAATGGACTTCATGGACGCGTGGGCGAAGATGGGTCCGCAGTCGCCGGAGTACGACCGGTGGGGGGAAATCCAGAGGAGCACATTCAAGGACAAATCGCTGCCGGAATCCGACGACCAGTCCGGCCTGATTTACTTAATCCTGAAAGAATCCGAAAAATGGGGGAACAAAATCTACGTGGAAAGTCAATATTACTTCGAAGGGTACTGGCTGGAAATCGTGGAAACGCTTCAGAACATCTCCGACCGGTACCTGGCGATAGAGAAACAGGCGGGGAAACTCCGGCGGCGGCACGCGGAGAAGGTGAGCGAGAGCTACGCTATGGTGTGGGAGGAGTACCTTAAGGACGCCGGGTACGGGAAGTTTAGCTGGCGAAGGCCGTTCATCACGCACTTCACCGGCTGCCAGCCGTGCAGTGGGGACCACAACCAGGCGTATTCCGGCCAGGTTTGCGGCGAGGCGATGCACAAGGCGCTTAATTTCGCGGATAATCAGGTGCTGCGCAGGTACGGGTTCGTGCACCGGGATCTACAGGATACCTCCACCGTGGTGCCTATACCTTTCGATTATCCGGCTTAGATTGCAAAAAAAAAGTACTCCGTATGACTAATGTGAAGTATTTATATTTATGCGTATGATTGGATAATTATTATGATGAAGGGGTCCAGTATCCATATCCATGTTTGGAATTATAATGCTTTGTATTGGTTATTCTAGTCCATTGGTTCATTGGTTTCGTTTAGTGTGCACAAACTCGTATAGACTGTTTTCCCTTATTTGTGATGCGAGTAAAGTGTAGTTGCCGAGTTAGAAATAGAGTGCGTTTGGGTAAGGACTTAGGTCCAATTAGGGATGGCAATGGGGCGGTTCGGGTACGGGTATACCATTACTCGTACCTAGGAGTGGGTTCGGTTCTTGCGGTTCGGTTTTGACCTAAAACCAAATATAGAATCAAAGTAAAAAGTTCGGTTCGGTTTCGGTTCGGTTTTACACTCCAAAACTTGGAACCACGGTTTAATTGGTTCGGTTTTTTTCGATTCGGTTTCGGTTTTTTCGGTTTTTTGCCAAAAAATTATCATTTGATTTAAAATTGATATAGTACTTTGAGGGATCAAACATATATTACATAAAGAATGCAAGCACACTACAACAAATAAAATAAAAATGAAAATAAATAAATATCTCATGAATTATATGAGTATGCGAGAGAGATAAAAGTATATATTATTAATTTACATGGTTTGTGACTAGTTCAAAAAAAGTTCATGAGTATATACGTTATATGTGATATAGTTGAGATAAATATTTATTGTTTCATCAATACGAATTTTTTAAGTTAAATAAAAATAAAAGTTAATTAATACTAATAACAAGTAAAAACATATTATTAGTATAGCTACATTATTACGTGCAATAAATGTGTAAATGAATTCATAAACTAAACTAAACATAACAAACATTATTTCTCTAGCACAAGAAAACCAAAAACTATTAATGATATTAGGATTAGTTAGGATTAATGCTTAACAATGGACAGATAAATTTTATATTTTAACTAGTTCGGTTTGTTCGGTTCGGTTCGGTTTTGAAGGGTAAAAACCAAAACCGAACCAAACAACTACGGTTCGGTTTTTTACATTCGGTTTCGGTTTGTTAGCGGTTCGGTTTTATTTGGCTACGGTTCGGTATGATTTGATTCGGTTTTCGGTTTTCGATTTTTCGGACCCAGCCCTACTCGTACCCGTCCCGTTTGATAAAAATTTTCCCCGAAACCGCCCCGTTACCTGTCGGGTATTTTTTACCCGCGGGTAACGGTTTTCCCCGCGGGTAACGGTTTCCTCGCGGGTAACCGTTTTATTAAAAAATAATTTTTTCCCTTTAAAATTAGTATAAATCCTAAAATGATGATTAACTACTTATCATTAACCACCTAAATTAAAAAAAAACAAAATTAAATAGTACCACCGATAGAGTTAAATAGAGTTAAAAAAACAAAATTAAATAGTACCACAAAATTAAATAGTACCACAAAATCATAATTTAAAATTTAAAACTTGATATAAATTATAGCAACCAATCAAAATTAATTTAATCATCCAATACACCTGTACAAAATTATTAGCAATTACATAAATTAAAGCAAGGTAGAGTAATCTAAAATATTTGGACTTTAAACTCATACATGAGTTTTATGAAAGTTATTGGGTGAAAAATTAAGAGAGTCACAATGTGAAAATTGCGTAGAGAAAACCACAAAAATCAAATAATCAATATGTGAAGAAAATAAATCTTGTAGAAGTTAACAAAGGAAGGATGATGAATGATATTGAAAATTCAAAATCTAAAATAGTGAACTTTGAGCACCAACTCCTCATAATTGCAAAGGATAGCCGATAAATTGAATATTGTTTCAAAGTATTTTAGGGAATAAGTGTCATATACTCATGTACTACCACTCATATATACTTAATATATTAAATAATAAATACATAAACTATTAAAATATACTACATATAAGTTAATTGTGCGGGTCGGGCAATGGTGCGGGTAACCGTGTCCAAATTAAATGGGGCGGGTAACGGGGCGGGTAGGCATAAACCCATAACCGCCTCATTACCCGTTTACATAAATCGGGTATTCCCCGCCCCGTACTCGTTACCCAGTCAAAGCAGTTTTCCCCATTTTAACTAGTTCGGTTCGGTGCGGGTATCCGTCGGGTCGGGCTAAATTGCCATCCCTAGGTCCAATTAATAACTTTACGATTTGTGCAGGTTTGCTATTAGGAAGAAAAAGATAATTAGAATATAATTAAAAATTGACATCCTAATTAAGTGAACAAAACGAGACTGTTTGACTAAGAAAAGTCAAATTTGCAACTCTTTTTGGGACGGAAGTAGTAAAAAACAATCTTAAACAATATTTCTCAAAAATATCTCCCAATACCCCCCCCCCCCCCCCCCCTCAAGTTGGCGCATGAGGATTTAAAATGCCCAACTTGCGTAGGAGAGTCTGAAACTGAGCTTTGGCAAGTGCTTTAGTAAAGATATCAGCAAGTTGAATGGTAGTAGGAACATAGTTGGGAGCAATTATATTGGCCTGAATAGCGTCACGAACAAAATGACAGTGAACCTCGATGTGTTTAGTCCGTTCGAAAGATAGGATTGTGAGCAATATGAAGGGCAGATTGACTATCACAGTACAACGGAATAGCCTGAGGATGCTGAACTCCAAGACTTAAAAGAAGTGCCTTTAACCATTTTAATTCACAAGTTGCCGCCGCCATGGAGCGGTATTCAGCTTCAGCGGAAGAACGAGCAACAGTTGATTGTTTCTTAGCTTTCTAGGAAATAGGTGAATGACCAAGAAAAACCAACCAGCCAGAGAGTGATCTACGTGTAATGGGGCAAGCAGCCCAATCAGAATCACACCAGCCAATAAGAGAAAGGTCACTATCAGCACGAAGAAGAATCCCTTGGCCAGGGGACCCTTTAAGATACCTGACAACACGCATGGCAGCGGACCAATGCTCGCTGAGAGGTTTTTGCATAAATTGTGAGAGAATGTGCACAGAGTATGTGATGTCCGGGCGAGTGACAGCCAAATAAATTAGGCGACCAACAAGGCGGCGATATGGTTCAGGGTCCTGAAGAGGTGGTCCAATAGCCGTCCCAAGGGTGTGATGTTGTTCAATCGGAAAAGAGGCGGGTTTCGCCCCCAAAAGACCAGTTTCGGTAATAATATCCAGGGCATATTTTCTTTGGTTAAGAAAAATACCAGTAGAGCTACGTGCCACTTCAATACCCAAAAAATATTTAAGAGGGCCCAAATCCTTCATATGAAAACATGCATTAAGGTATGATTTAAAACCACCAATAGCAGCACTATCATTGCCAGAAATAAGTAGACCATCCACATAAACAAGGACATTAAGCTGAACGGCACCACGAGTAAGAGTAAATAAAGAATAGTCAGCATATGACTGAAGAAAGCCAAAATTCTTAAGAGCGGTGACCAATTTTGCGAACCATGTCACGCCCCGAACCTATCCGGACACGTCAACAATCCGCCGTACAGTACGAATAGTCAACCGCAGTCCAACATATCCATACTATACAAGGCGTCTGGAATATCATTCACACATAGTACATCCATAAACCATCATAATATAAAATATTCATTTAAAACAGCGGAAGCATTTGATACAAGTGTTCGTGCCACACTTTGGCAAATATGGGCATACAAGCCCCAAAGTATTTATTCAAGAAAATATAATATCCATGAGCATTAACATAATTGTTTTTAAAACAGGAACAGAGGAAGCACGAACCACGTCTTCTTCTCCTGAATTCTCCCGGAGCAACGGCACTGGTAGCAACCTTCAAGTTCTACCTGAAACTGTGAGGTGGCCTCCCCCGTGAAGGGGAGGTCAGTACTTGGAAGCATTTGACAAGTACAATGACAACTATACTAAGTATAATCAAAGTTTCAATTTCCAAGACCCTCAACTTAGGATGTTATTGCTTTGTAATTAATTCACGTTCCTTCATGCTAGAGCTCGGCTCATAGTCATACTAATTTGTGCTAGAGCTCGGCTCATAGTCACACTACATTTTTGCTAGAGCTCGGCTCATAGTCATACTAATTTGTGCTAGAGCTCGGCTCATAGTCACACTACATTTTGCTAGAGCTCGGCTCATAGTCATTCCTACATTTTTGCTAGAGCTCGGCTCATAGTCATACTACCACGTGTTAGAGCTCGGCTCGTAGTCACGTCATCTAATCCCTAAACCACTTCTTAGTCTAGGCTCCATTCCTTTTGAGTAACCCTTGAGGTCTACTCCTAATATAACTTGACTTCATAAGTCCACCTTAATTATCCTTTAAAGTTACTTAGCCTCAATATCATGGGATTAGTTCCCAAGCACTATTGAACTAACATCCCCGACTAGTCCTTCAATACTAGTCGTTTAATCTTAATAAACCAAAGCTAATTTCATAATAATTCGTACATTTCAATTTAATTCCACATTCAAGTATAACTTGACTCAATATCAAAATATCACTTTTATTCCCTCCATGAGGTAAAAGTATATTCATCACAATACAATTTTATAATTTACACAACAATTGGGTCATTATAATCACAACACATAATCATACACAATTTATTCATAAATTTGTATATTATGTATTCTCTCTTATGAACAATAATATATCTCATTTAGGCATTTTTTAATCATAACTAAATCATGCCAAGTACATATAATTCATTTAGGCAATCTTATGAAATTAACCCAATCATTATAAACAATATAGTCGGTCATCCTCACCTTAAGTGAGCTTGAGCGCGTTCTACGCTTCCCGGTTGAACTTTGACTAATTCCGACGAACTTTGACCAACTCCGGCGAAACTCCGGCGAAGCTCAAAAATGCTTTAATCAAGTTCCTAACAAGGTTTTAACATCATAAAACCTTAATCAATACAAATAACCTCTAAAAGGTTATTTTCCGGTGAACTTGTCGGTTTGGCTCCTAAGTCCGGTTCGGACGTAGAACCATCCTCCAACCCATCATTCTACACTTAAACCATGTAGAACAATCCTAAAGGTTCCTCATATGATATATATATTTCATATGGTAGAATAAAAAAATAAAGGAGAGTTATGATAAGGTTATTACCTTAATCCTTTCTCACTTTTAGTACTTTAGCTCCTTTTCTTGGGATCTTTTCTTGTGGAGCTTTCTTCAACAATGGAGAAGGAAGATGGAGAAATCC